TGCACCAAACCAATGAGACCCTATCTAAAAAAAATCTAGGCGACAGCATTTGAGCAATGACAGCAAAGGTTGTCATCCAGCCTCCAGACATACATGCACACACAACCATACTCACAAAAGAAAACCTATACTTGAAGCAAGCAGAAGGCCTGTTGAGTTAGGACTGGCCTAAATCATGGTATCAGACCCTGTCTATCACCACCTCCAAAAGTATAGGACAAGAGATGACTGGTACATCTCAAACTTAGCTAGATATGACGACTCCCACTTGAAATCCTAGCACTTGAGAGGGCAAGGCAAGATTGAAGTTCAAGGCCAGCCCATACACTATGAGATCCTGTCTCCAAAACAATCCAGTCCAAACTAAAGATCTATAGTGAAGTTAATGCTGATAAACCCACAGTAAATTGAAAATATCCTTAGGTTGAAGATACATTTAGTGTTATCTTCCCTACCAACATCAGAGCTTAGTAATATAGTATCAGTTCTTTAATTATCCTTGTGATACCCTGGCTGAAGGAGAGCTGAAGACCGCTGCCTAGAATCACAGAAGAGTAGTAACACAGTAGGGTGTGGTGGTGCAAGCCTGTGATCCCAGCACGTGGGAAGCTACTGAAGGAAGTCAAGGTCAACCAAGACTATATAGTGTGTTCTGAGAAGGCTTGGAAGACATAAAGACCTTGTCTCAAAAACCAAAAATCTCCTGAGATTTTAAAATATCTCACTAGTATAGGAAAAAAAAAATCAAAATTCACAACATAGACTATTAGGTATTACTTTTACACCATTAAAACTGTAAGATGAACCAACACAAGTCAGGACAATCTACAAATGCTGAAAATTGAGACATGCCTATCTACATATAGTCAATAATAACCTCCCAGTAATAAGCTCCTTAACAGAGTGTCACCCTCAAATTGAGACACTAAATACTTCAATACTTTCAAGCATTCTTCCATAAAATGTATACTTTGTGGCAGACAATAAATGTAAGACAAAAAGTGAAATTATTTTAATCAATAATTGTTTTAAACCAATTCTTATATTTAATATTATTGGCATTTGTCTTTTTAGGTTTGTTTGTTTATTTTTTTTTCCTTGAGACAAGAATCTCAGGCAGCCAAGGCTGACCCTGAACTACTAATCTTCCTGCCTCAGCCAGAGACTACAGGTGTGTTACCATGCCTGGGTGGCTTCTGATTATCAGTTTAAGGCCATCCTTGGCTATACAGCCAGTTGGAAGCCAGCCTGGGCTACCTGAGACCCTGCTTTTATCAAGTTTCAGGAATGTAGCAAAGTGTTTGCCTAGCATGTGTGAGACCCTGTGTGTAATCTCTAGTATAGTCCCTCATCCAAAATTTCCCTCACCACCAAAAACAAAAAGTAAAAACTTGAAGGAGGTAAGGAAATCAGTCATGCATTCACAGTGAAACCTAGGGAGTAATCCAGTCAAATAACAAACAGGACAAAGGTCTGAGACCTTGACTATCTTACAACAGTCAGGAGGCCAGGGAGAGAACTGGTAGAGGATTTAGGAAAACACTAAGAATTTCTCCAAAATTAAACATGGATCCATTAAAGAGCTTAGTAGAGTACTGTGGTCCCATTACTCTAGCTACTATGTTGAGAACATGGTACAGAGAAGAGGGTGAAAAAGCAGAACCTGGTGTGGTGCTCATACCTGTAATCAACACTCAGGAGGCTGAGTCAGGAGCTTAAGTCTCAGTGAGACCCTGTCTCAAAATACACAAGAAATAAAGACCAAAAAAATACAAAGAAATCAGCAACAACAAAGAAACTGACACCCAACAACAAACACCCAAGACACAAATAAGGGCTCCATGCAAATGCTGGTCATCATGGTGCATAATTAGTTTACTTTGAGCTAGGTTTTGTCTGGTGCACATATGAAATCTAGGGTCTCACATACTAAGCATGTACTCCACCATTAAGGTACATGTCCAATCCAGGACATCAAGCCCAAATACAGTCTGTCAGTTACTGTCGGTAGAAAGAGCTGGACCTTTGCTTTAAAGAGCTCTTGGCATACCTATATACTGTACAACACAAATACAAGAACTGTGTTTTAAGTACTTGTCACAGGGGAAAAGGAATACAAACTCATGCTCCTTTAATTTCATAATCAGATATTTTCCATTTAAAGCCCTATTGCAACTAACTGAGTCTATTTTTTTTTTTTTTCTTTATTCCTGGCTGGCCTGGAACTTGATATATTAACCAGGCTGGCCTGGAACTCAAGATCCACCACTTCTGCCCCGCCTGCGCCTCCCTCCTACTGGGATTGAAGGTGTATACCACCATGCCCAGCCTGAGTCTATTCTTTAAAGAAACAAGTCAACACTACTGTGTTTATTATGTTAATTATATACTATATTTCTTTTTAAAAAGCCCAGATATGAATAATTTACTTTGGACTACTACTTTCCCAAATCATGTAAAAACAAATATTAGTAATATATTATAACTTCAAGGGGATATTATTATTTCTACAGCTTTCTTTTAAAAGTTCTTGAGATAGGGTCTCATTCTACAGCCCAGACCAGCAAAGAACTCACCATGTAGTGATGAACACAAACAGAACTCACTATGAGAGCTGACTGTCAGCAATCCTCCCGCCTCAGCCTTCCTTCCAAGTACTAGGCATGAGCTACGACGCCAGACTCAAGTTTTCTTTTTATGGTCTCATCTTTTAAGGCAACCATTTTCTTTTGATTCATACTAACTTTGCATATCAGTATCTGGGTCATTCATTTCAGGAAAAGGCAACCACAATACAATTTCCACTGTCAAAAATAACACATTCCCAAAAAGTACTGGTAATGCCAAAACCTATCATGATTTGTCTAGTCCCTCTGGAAAGGACAAAATATAGTTCCCATGAACTCTAAAATTATTCTAAGGACAACAGAGGAAAGCAACAAGTCAAATATTCAATTTTCCTAGAAAGAGGCTAAGAAGTATAGATTTTTTTTTGGGGGGGGGGAGTTTGCTTATGACACCTAAATAAATACATTTGTTGAGTAGCTATTGTAGAGAGGGAAACAGTAAGCTACAGACAACTCAAAGAGAGGCCTGGTGGTATAGGTCTCTAATTCCGGCAGCTCTGAAGGCTGAGGCAATAGCACAAAAGTTCAAGGCCTGTCTGGGTGACATCATGAGACACTAACAAGTTTAAAAAAAAATGAGAGTTATAGCTCTGTAGTAGTGTTTTGCTAGCATGTACAGGGCTCTCAGTTCAATTCCTGCTACGGATAAAACATCCAGATTTCGGGGCTGGAGAGATGGCTCAGTGGTTAAGAGCACTGGCTGCTCTTCCAAAGATCCTGAGTTCAATTCCCAGCAACCACATGGTGGCTCACAACCATCTATAATGAGATCTGGTGCCCTCTTCTGGCCTGCGGCATACATGCAGGCAAAACACTGTATACATAATAAATAAATAAATCTTTAAAAAAAAAAAAAAAAAAAAAACATCCAGATTTCATTTAGCATTAGTCTGCTCCTGAAGCAATTTAAATAAACTGGGAGAAATGGGGTACATAAATACAGTAAATACTGCATTTTTATTTGACAAATTGCATGAAACATTGAGAACAGAGCTTCTATTCTTCATTTATCTCAGTTATTGAGCATCTACTATGAGTCAGATGATGGGGTATAAAAGCACCTGGAAAATGTCCCAAATTCAGCTTATACAAAGGGAGGGGAACACATAGTTCAAGGATGAGAAGACACACAACTACCTAAACAAAGATACTAAATTATTATAGGCCCAGTATTGCTTATGTAAGTGTAGAAGGTTCGTGGGGGACTTGTCCAGGAATTCAGGGAGGGAGGGAGGGGAATGTCAGGACTTCAGATACTGAGCTGAGTCCTTAAAGAGGATTAGATGTTCACCTGGGCAACCTTGGTGCAAAGGCTCCTAGCAGAAAGATCACCTGGAGTCTTGAAGACAAAATTGTCAACAGCCTGGTTTGGTAAGCTTGATATAGAGGCTTCCGCAAGGCTACCATGAAGACTGGACTAGTAATGTGCCTGAAAGACCCCTGAAGGGGTCAGAAAATAATCAGCATATATGATCACTTTTTTTTTTTTTTTTTGCCACATAAGAAACTGGTTTACACAGAATTGAGGAAACACTAAACTCGCTAATGATGTCACCACATAAAAACAAAGGACACTGCCCAGTTAGAAAACCAACCTCTCTTCAGGAAAATACTAAAGACTGTATTCAAGCCCACCACGGAGTTTACTCAGTATCATTTAGAAAGACCCATTCAAGAACCTTTGATAAAGAGGAGGCCTTTAGTAGCAGATGGCGTTTTCCAAGTCACGCGGAAAGGTCCCTAAAGTTCAAGATAATCAAGGTTTTATTAAGTCAACTTATTTAAAAGGTGTGTCACAGGGGTGGAGCAAAAAGAGGAGGAGCTTAAGATGACCACATATGTATATATAAACAAGTAACTCTTTATGAAGCAGGGGCTAACATCCGCACTTGGAATTCCACCTCCCCAATGGATGGTGAAAAGGACGTTCTACCAGAACCAATGAACAAAGATAGGGTAGGAGTGGGGAGGATTATATACGAAAACACATATGGAGGAGTGGGGGGGGGGGGGACAACCGACCCACAAGCCATAATCCTGCCGGCAGTCGGCGGAGGAAATCACACAACTCAGACATAAAGGCAAGAAAACCATGTCATCCTTAACTCCACCAGCTAACTCGCAGACACCGGCCAAGGGGATGTGATCACACGCTTGGATTCCTGGACTCAAGGACAGAGCACCTTCCCCAGACGCCACCCCAGGGGAAGGCAGGAAGGATCGGTCTCTGGTCCGGGGACTGGGCAGCGGACCCCCTCACCGCCGGCCCCCGAAGGGGGTCAAGGCCCCCCGAGGCTAGGCCCTGGAGGCCAAGGGCAGAGGGCCTGAGCCGCCTCCCCTCGCACGCCGACACACACACACACCCTCCCCTACCTGATATGGCGGCGGCGGCTCCTGATCTGGCTCCGTCCCCTCGCCAAAGCTAGCCCGGTCGGACTGAGACTCGTGAAGCAGGGAGATGTCATCCGAGGTCGGGGATTTGAGGCAGTTCCCCATCTTCCGGGGCCGGGGTGTGTGCGTGAGATCTAGGGGGAGGAAGAAAGCCGTGACCCCAGTCTCTCCGCACACTCAGCGCTCGCTGAGCTCGCTCTCGGCGCCGCGGGGTCCGAGGCGGCAGGCCCCGGGGCTCAGGCGGCGGCTCCCCCG